TTTGAAATTGAATCGCGATTTCAAGTGTTGAGACAATCAGTGGTTTTGAGTTTAATTGCAATTAAATCACACATTAATTGCTAGAAATGTCTCAAATCAACGCTTATGTTATATCAAAGGTTTCATATAATCAATGCTATTATATGTGAAGATATGTTTTGAATGCAAACTTCGCTATGAATTGATGGCAACAAATATATTGCAAACACTTTTGCCCTCAACTCAAGTGAAGGACAATTCAAAACACATGTCATTCACATAATTAATAGTCATTTAACTCATGATTTTGTTTATATTTATTACAGAAACTCCTGAATGCGACCACTTTTGGTCAGATCCGACTCATACACGGGTCGTCCACATGTCTGGCCAAACAGGTCTGTCAGTGACACCGCTGTCACTGTATCTCGACTCCCTTTAGTAGATCCAACACTCACTCTACCATTTATTGTCTTCCTCTGCAGATACCGATGAGTCGTTTCGACAAAGACTCGTATATTCCGTACGAAAAACTGCAAAATAATCTCAAAGTTGTCAAAAAGAGGTCTGCGTTTGCGATCGCTTGTAATCTTCGTGCGAACTGACAGTTGTTTTCTAATTGATTGTCTCGTAGACTGAATCGTCCGCTCACTCTATCGGAGAAGATATTGTACTCGCATTTGGATGACCCGAAAGGGCAGGACATCGCTCGCGGACAGAGCTATTTGCGGTTACGGCCCGATCGGGTGGGTATGCAGGACGCGACGGCGCAGATGGCAATGTTGCAGTTCATCTCCAGTGGTCTCCCGAGAGTAGCCGTTCCCTCGACTATACATTGCGATCATCTGATCGAAGCGCAAGTCGGCGGCGATAAGGACTTGGCCCGAGCGAAGGACATCAACAAAGAGGTCTACAACTTCTTGAGCACCGCTGGCGCCAAATACGGGGTCGGCTTCTGGAAGCCCGGCAGTGGTATCATTCATCAGGTATTGCTTTTATTCATACTTATATTTAGACATTACTTTGAGGTCTAATTAAATGTTATATTAATTACAAAATACTTAATTAATACATTTAATGACCAAATAATAGTGAAGTGCAGTCAATACTGTCACCGGCAGTGACTGCACCGGCAGAACAGGTGTGACAATAAATAAGCACTTATTTTCACGTATAATTTGCTGAACATTACTTTTGCAGATAATTCTGGAGAATTACGCCTTTCCTGGAGTTTTGCTCATCGGAACCGATAGTCACACCGTAAACGGCGGCGGATTAGGCGGTCTATGCATTGGTGTCGGCGGTGCCGACGCTGTGGACGTTATGGCCGACATTCCGTGGGAACTGAAGTGTCCGAATGTGATTGGCGTTAGGCTGACGGGTAAACTGAGCGGTTGGACCTCTTCTAAGGATGTGATCCTTAAAGTGGCCGACATATTGACAGTAAAGGGCGGAACCGGTGCTATCGTCGAGTACTTCGGACCGGGTGTGGACTCGATCTCATGCACGGGAATGGGAACTATATGTAATATGGGCGCAGAGATCGGCGCNCAAATCCGCGCCACCATTGAGAGGGACGGACAGGCGGAAGAGTTGCGCAAATTTGGAGCTCTTGTATTGGCCAACGCTTGCGGTCCTTGTATTGGCCAATGGGATCGTAAGGATGTGAAGAAAGGCGAGAAGAACACAATCGTCTCGTCCTATAACCGCAACTTCACGGGTCGTAATGACGCCAATCCGGCCACTCATGCGTTTGTCACTTCACCCGAATTGGTGACCGCACTCGCGATCGCCGGTCGACTGGACTTTAATCCTCTCAAAGACGAACTGACCGGCGCTGACGGCAAGAAGTTTAAACTGGATGCGCCCACCGGTGACGAGTTGCCGTCGCGTGGCTTCGATCCCGGACAGGACACATATCAGGCGCCACCCGTTGACGGAAAGGGCATTTCTGTGGACGTCGACCCCAAGAGTAAACGCTTACAACTGTTGGCCCCGTTTGACAAATTTGATGGAAAGGACTTAACAGATATGGTTGTCCTCATCAAAGTGAAGGGCAAGTGTACAACAGATCACATCTCAATGGCCGGACCGTGGCTTAAATATAGGGGTCATTTGGACAACATCTCCAACAATATGTTTATTGGGTTTGTTTTTCATGATTTTAATTAATCTTTAGACAAATATAATATTAATAATTATTTTATCAATGATTAGAGCGATTAATATTGAGAATAATGAGGCGAATAATGTGAAGAATCAATTGACTGGTGAATGGGGTGCAGTGCCCGACACGGCCCGCGCCTACAAAGCAAAAGGTGTCAAATGGGTTACCGTTGGCGACGAGAATTACGGTGAGGGCAGCAGTCGAGAGCACGCGGCTCTCGAGCCCAGACATCTCGGCGGACGCGCTATTATTGTCAAGAGTTTTGCCAGAATTCACGGTATTATAATTGAGTCATTTTTTATACATTGAATTTTAATTATTGTTTTTGTTTAAATTAATGGCAATTAGAAACTAATCTGAAAAAGCAGGGAATGCTTCCGTTGACGTTCTCTAACCCTAAAGATTACGACAAAATCCAACCGACAGACAGAATATCATTACTTGATCTGAAGAGTATCGCTCCCGCAAAGGTATTCATACATTTGGTATTTTAAGTATGTGTTGTATTAACACATTATAATCTCTGAAAAGGCCGTCAAATGCGAAATTAAACATAAGGACGGCTCGAAAGACGTGATTGAATTGAAGCACACATTGAATGATCTACAGATCGGATGGTTTAAAGCCGGCTCTGCTCTCAACAGAATGGCTGAAGTGAAGAAATAATGCACTTTTTGTTTGTTTTTTGTTGTTTTTAGCATTTATTCAAATAGTATATACAGTTTATAAGAAATTAATAGATTTTTATTTATTAATTCGCGCCGAATATGAATGTAATTCGCGTTTAAATTTATGCCTAAATAATAATATCTTACGAAATACTGGATTTGAATTTACAAGTAATGGATTTAAAATTTTATTTCAAACATTCAATAAAATTTTAATTGGAATTCAAAATCTTCTTGTTTTATAAATAAAATTTAATCTAAATTTATTTGATATTTTTAAGAGAGAGAGAGAGCACATTGTTTTTAGTATTGTCCGGTCTCTTATTGCAATAAACTAACCAGGTTTATATTGAGTCATTATGTGAAAGTAAAATGAATTTAGATACTCTACTAACAGAGTATATAAAACTAAACTTTGGCTAATAAAATATGCACAACTAATTTTACCCTGATTATATTAATTGTTAGGAATACATTTATAAATTATGGCATAGAATTGGAGCAGTGTTTATTGAACTACAAAACACTATAATAAGTTTGCATGTAAAGTTGACATGGTGTCTATTCTGGAAATGGACAAATTCTATTGTGGAAGAATAGCATTCCGTTGAGTCTATCCTTTGCAAACATTTTGGCATTTTTAATCGATGGGAAATTATATATAAGTTTTAAAGTTACATTATTTTATAAATAGAAAACAAGTATAATTCACATTCTGTGTCTACTTTAAGTTGTTGTGATAAACATGTATTGCACTGACAAATGTAGAATCTTTGAACGCAAAATAGGAGGAAAAATATTTAATTGTAACATTAATTAAACACATATTTATCCACATTTTTCAGTCCATTTATTTGTTGCAAAATTTCACACAATATGTATAATTGCGAGTTTTTAAGGCGTGTAAATCGGGTGAAAATTACTTATAGTTATTAATATGCAATTATTGTCACTTCTTCTCAATCATAAGTAAGTTTGGTTTAAAGCAAAAAACTTTGTGGAATCTGTTTAATTGACTATTATTAATTAATAAATATGCATGTTATAAATCATAATTAGTTCAACATGTGTAAAATATTATACAGTATATTTATTTAAATTCAATTAAGTTAGTAGAATTCTATATAAAATCAGATCTTAAAAACATAACACTGTTTTCATAATATGAGTGTAATATTTGAATTAATGTGTCATAATTTTCCAAATGGTTTATTACTTTCTTGTGCCTATAAATTAAGATAAAATCTTAACAGAATTATGTGCATGATCAAAGTGTTTTGTAACTTTAAGGAAGTGAAAAGTTGTCAACCCGACCCGAAACTTAAATATGAAAGGGTCTGCTTTGGGCTTTGCAACAGCGTATGACTTATACTGCTATACATGTATAATATGCTTATGCTTTGCCCGTAATATTTTATTTGAGTTTTAAGGGTTGGGTTTTATTTGTCGTTCCCTACTTTAGGCTTGAATTATTTGATTATCAGGTCAGATGCCGAGTGCCAGAGGACATATGGCGCTACTATAAGGGTCCGGCATATTATTTAAGCATTATTTAAATGTCACACAAGTTTATGACTGAAAAGTTAATGAAAAGCCCGTATATGTAAGTGAAGGCTACGAATATGATATTTATATATCAATAGTATTGATTCAATACTGTATCGATGAATTTTGATTGCCAATCATATTGATAAAAAGTTTTATAAATAACACTTATTATTATAACTTGTAATTTGTTAGCAAATCATATAATACACATTAATATTTTTATAAAATTAAATCCACTATTAATTCGCAGAATATTTTGATTCATAGATTTTTCCGATAAAATGTAAATGAAGTCAAAGTAATTATAAGTTATAGAATATTTCAATAGAATTTGGTTACAAAATTCAAATATGATTTGACTAAT